TAAAATTATTTCTTCACATATCTAACAGATCAAAGATTTAAAAATAAACTGTAATTACTTCTCAAGTCAAAACATTTAAGGAAGAAGCAGTACCAATCCCACACAGATTCCTCCAGAGAGTAGGAGAAAAAGAAGGAAAACACCATTGAACCATCCTCTGAGGTGAGCATAACCCCAGCCCCAGTGCCTGGCTCCAATCCCACAAGGATACCACATATACATTATACCCCACAAGAAACCCATATAGAACACTAACTAGTTGGCTTCAGTTACTCCCCAAAAGAACAACTTTTAGGACAAAGCTGGATCTGTTCCAGGAAGACAGGATTCGTCCAACACTTAGAAATCAGTGCAATTCACTGTATCAGCAGAACCGATAAAAACCACATAACAGTGTCAACAGAGTTTTTCTTTTAACAAAATTATGAAAATTTTAAAGATATTAAGCACCATGAATTCCCATTTGTCCAACAGTTATCAAGGGTAATTTTTTCTCTGTTGATATATTTTAAAGTAAATCCTAGACTTGAGGTAGAGACACGAGTACAGAGCATCTGGTGGTTGAGGTGAAGGGGGTGTCTTGGTCCTCTAACTGCTCTTCCCTCCCATTCCCTGGTAACAGCTGCATCTCTCTGAGTACACTTGGTGTGCTAAGTGGTTTATGTTCATAATTTCATTTCATCCACATCTCACACTCATTTATCAGTGAGAAAACTGGGGCCTCTTGCCTGAATCCTATGTACAAGATCTTTCAAAGGACCATAGCACTTACACAAATGTTGCTTTTATTTATGGATAAGTAGTGATCCATTGAATTCTATATTCTAAATCCGCTTAGAATTACTCTGTTTTCCTGTATGATTAAAATGAGACAGAATAGTAAGGTCTTTTTGAAAAACAGACTATTCATTGAAGCGAGTGGAGAAAAGCTACACGAGACACGGTGATAGACTGAGAGAAGATCATCAGATGAGACTACAGAAAAGACAGCTGAACCGTGCAAAGGCCAGGTGGTACAAAACAGGATTGGTGCTTGGGAAAACTGCATGATGCTCAGAACGGAGAGGCGAGAAGGGGCGTTAATGTGAAAGGCTGAAGATCCCTGCATGACACATCAATTGTGTTAGTGTATCTGAGGAACCTCCGAAGGCTTTGGGGCACCACCGAGTAGGATCTGGAGGTAGATCTGACTCAGATTCCCCACTCTCTTGCTGAACTTTTCTAATCTATGACTGGGGATAATAAAACCCAGATAGTAGGTTTTTACAGAACTAGAATGTATATAAAAATTCCTGCATTTGGAATGGGATAAATAAGTGATAGCTACTAGATGACAACTGGAGATTATGATCAGGTTTTGATTTTGGAACAATTACCAGCAGCAAGATAGAGAATGGGATAGCAAAAGAGCAGGTGAAAAATGATGGCCTAAATTAGGGCAGCAAAGTTGGGATAGATGAACCCTGTAATGACTAGAACTGAAAAGTTTAATAATGTTTAAAGTCCAGAAAGGGAATTCTTCACCTTTCAGCTTATAACAGAGACACTCTGAAGAGTCTGTCTTTGGTTAAAATAAACATTTGTTCGTTTGGTTGTGTTTTGTGTTTTTGATTTTCGTTATGCTGGGGATTGAATCCAGAGCCTTGCACATGCTAGGCAAACGTCTACCATTGAGCTGTACACCCAGACCCTGAGTGTGTGTGTGTGTGTGTGTGTGTGTGTTATGGGGGATTGAATGTTGGGGCACTTCACCACTGAGCTACATCCCCACACCCTTTTTATGGTTTATTTTGACAGAGGGTCTCATTAAGTTACTGATAGTCTTGCTAAATTGCTGAGTTTGGCCTCCAACTTACTATCCTCCTGCCTCAGCCTCCTGAGTTACTGGGATTACAGGTATGCACCACCATGCTTGGCTCTAAATTTACTTCTTAATGCAGTTCTGGGCTTCCAGAAATTAATGGAACCATTTCAGGGGGAAAATAAAAGCTGAAAGAATAATAGTAAGCAATAGGCAACCATGAAATACCAAAATTGGAATCAGAAAATAAGCACTGTAGAGTAGGACTTATATACCTGATATTTACACATTAAACTTGGATTCTTGAAAAAAGTCCTATTAATAAATGTACATCTGAAGGAAACAACATCTCTCTGGAAGAAAGTACTTGAAGTTTAAGCTCTCAGGACTGCCAGACAATTAAGATTAGATAACATGGGCACAGTGGCACACTCCCGTTAAGCCCAGTGACTTGGGATGTTGAGGCAAGTTCAAGGACACGCTCAGCAACTTAGTAAGACCCTGTATCAAAAAATAAAAAGGGCTGGTGAAGTAGCTACGTGTGTGTGTGTAAGCATGCTAGCCAGAATAATCGGAAACAACAGAACTAAATCTCACTAAAGACTTTAGATGTTACACTTAACACAGAATGAAATGTTTAAATAGGAGGAAGTTGGACTCTCCTAATGAGCAAGCAACAAGAAGCCATTATAAAATGAGTTAGAAGAGATTCAAAACTAACCAAGCAAAACTGGAAAAAAATAAATAAAACATTGTTAGAAATGAATCAGTGGAAATATCTAATAAAAGGCTCAATTCATTTGAATGGAAAAACGAGTGATCTGGAAGACATAAAGAAAATAGCTCCATTGTGGTGAAAGATACAGGGGAATGCAAACTATGAAAGGGAAGTTTATGGTTAGGTTATTTGCAACTCATTTCATTTCTTAGCAAAGTAAGAATAGAAGGCAAACTTTCAAAAGGGGAAAACATAAATCCACATACAGCATGGTCATTGTTAACAGAAACTTTAGATGCATGTCCTTTAAAATGGAGACAAAGACAAGAATGTCCAATATTTGTGCTTCTATTTACTGATACAAGAGATCCTGGTCAGTACAGTCAGAAAAGGAAAAAAATAAGAATTATAAAGCAAGAAACCAAAGTGTGATTAGTCACAGATATTATTATAAAACCCCAGACTCTACAATCAAGTTATCAGAAATAATAGAGAGTTTCGCAAGATTAATATCAGAAATCAATTACAATTTTACATAGCAACAATTAGAAAAAATATCAAAAATATAATTTATAAATCAATCCAATAAAATATGCAAAACCTGCATAGAGAAAAAAATTAACTTTATTGAATGATATTTCTGAAGTCCTAAAAATAGAAAATATACTATATTCAACAATAGTGAGATTCAGAAATCCCAGCGAGTTATTTTTCATGGATGTTGAATAAACCCATCTTAAAATTACTTGAAAAATTCAAGTATACTCAGGATACCTGTGAGGATAAAGTAAGGTATGAGACTTGCCCAGTGAGACATGAAAGTATTAATAAAATTGGAACAATGAAAACTGTGGTTTTGGCACATGGACGTGGGTAGACTGGCCAGGAAAACAGGCTAACAAAAAAGGCTCCTGAACATTCCAAAACTTACCTTGATTTGATGATCACATGTTTATGTATTGAACTATCACACTATGCCCCATAAATATCTACAATTATTATAAGTCAACAGAAATATTGGCCAAAAAAAAGACTATCAATAAATGATGATGGGACAATAGTTTCTATGTGAAGGAAAAAAGAAGTAATTTGATCCCTATCTGACATAGGGCACAAAGATTAATTTAGATGAACAAAGACATAAAAAAAAGTCTTAAAATTTTACTGAAAATATAGAGGAATATTTTTATAACTTCAGGGAAACAATAAATTTCTTTTAAAAGATGCCAAAAAAGGAGCGCTGGATTTGTTGCTCTGTGCACTTGCCTAGCACACGTGAGGCTCTGGGTTCAATCCTCAGCACCACATAACAATAAATAAATAAAATAAAGGTACTGTGTCCATCCAAACTACAACTACAAAATAAAAATAAAAAAAAAAACAGAAAAAGTTGTGGAGATTAATATTCAGCATAAAGACCTACAAATCAGTAAGAAACAAATTAACATCCAGTTGAAAAATGGGCAAGAAACCTAAGTCAACATTTTAAGGAGACAAGGAGATGCCTACTAGGCATTAGAGGAGCTTAATCTCATGAGTGATTAGAAAAATATTTAGACCCGAAAAAACATCATTTTTATATCCACTAGAATGGCAAAAATGGCAAAAAAAAAAAAAAAGAAAAAGAAAAAAATAAAGAAATCCGACAATGCAGAGTAAAGAGGAGGAATACGTTTGACAGGGATACATTTTGTTGGTTGCAATACAATTGGAAACAATTGAGGGTCCCTTTGTATCACCAGGCGCGACGGTGACCTCACTTAGTGATACTCTGTAAACAGTAGAGCCCGTTGCTCCCCTCCACAGCGAAGGTCATGAACTTGGACCACACGAATTCATGAAGCAGTTCACATTTTTATGTTAATAAAATAATAAAATAAAAAATTTAATAAAGTTGTCCTTGTGTTGAAATATTTCTAAAAAAAAAATAGGTCACGCAAGAAATCAGAATGTTCAATCAGCTTTGGAAATAACTCAGATGTATACTGACAAGAAAATCCATGGAAAAATCGTGGAAGAGTGGGGTTTTGTTTTTGTTTCTGCTCTGCACAAACGAAACTAAGCCCCGTTGTTCAAGGGCAGGTACATTTGGTAACAAAAGTTAGCAAATGGGAGGAGTTGAACGTTCAGCACGCCCCGCGGGTAACTTTCGCACCTCTCACAAGTGGCGGGAAAGGGGAGTGAGAGAAAGGGGCGGGCTGAGGCCGGTAGGCTTTCCTGAGGAGAATCCGTGAATCAACTTCGGTGAAGTTGTACTTCACAAAGTAGGTGATGTGTTCATCTGTTTCATAGTTCGCACTGTCTCTTCACATTTTTGAGATTAAATAAATTTAAAATGTAGAAACTGGAAGGCGCCAAGCCTCAAGCGCGGGCTAAAACGTGGGCGTGGCGAACGTGCCCGCGAGCGATCGCCCTGTGGAGGGGGGGGTGGACTCGTCTCCGAGAACGCATGCGCCCGGCGTTCAGCCAATCAGCGAGGCGCCTGGCTGAGGCGAGACTTGTTTTTCTCCCGCTCGAATAGCAAATTGCCTCAGAAAGGTTTTCTGGCGGCGACGACGACGAAGCAGCAAAGTTCTCAGGTGAGGAGCCAGGATAGGGGAGGCCTGAGCGTTTAAGGTCACTGGTCAGAGGAGTCTAGTAACGTGATGGGGCCACTGAGGTTTATTTAGGTGTAAGGAGGGGTGGGATTTGTCGGCTTGGGGGTTCCTGCGGGCCGAGGCTACTCTTGCTTTTGAGGTGAATCCCCATTGGCGTTACCTGGGGCCTCCGACGGGAAGATGGGGCCGGGTTCCCACCGAGGGCAGAGCCTGGGGCAGGCGCGGGTGGGTGGAGGGCAGGTGGCGGAGCCGCGTCTGGGGCCGGGTTTATGGGGAGCGCGGCTGGGGCCTGCCTCCGCTTTCTTGCTCCTGCGCGCCCCAAACCCGTTAAAAACTAGGGCAGGGAACTGGGACTCCTTCATTTCCCCTTCCTTCGTTTTCCCTCCATATGTATGTCCTATGTATGTTGTAGAGGTTTCATAGAATTTTCCTAGTCCCGCTTGGACTTTTTTTGGTGGTGGGTGGGTGGGTGGGGGGACCGGGGATTGAACTCAGGGACACGGCCTCTGAGCCACATCCCCAGCCCTGTTCTGTATTTAATTAGAGACAGGGTCTCACCGAGTGGCTGAGTGCCGCGCCATTGCTGAGGCTGGGGTGAACTCGCGGTCCTCCTGCCTCAGCCTCCCGAGCCGCTGGGATTACAGGTGTGCGCCACCGGCGCCCGGCCTTGCTGTTTGCTTGGTTTGGGTTTTTTGCGGGACTGAGGATGGAATCCGGGGCGAGCGCTCCAGCGCTGAGCGATACCCTCGGCCCCAGTCCCATGGAACTCCTCTGGGAGATGAGTGTTGCCATGAACTAAGTCTGGCATGATCTGTCTTGCCAGCAACCGTGATTCCACTTTGAGACTGAGATGTGGAATAGATTTGCCCAGATTCAGATTTTTGCCCAGGGGCTCAAATTCAGATCTCACAATCCTCATGGGCATAGCACTTTTGGAGTCGGGGTTGACGCCATCATTATGTTCTTGATCCTTTTTGGTACCAGGGATTGGAACTCAGGGGTACTAGACCACTGAGTCACATCCCCAGCCCTATTTTGCATTTTATTTAGTGACAGAGTCTCACTGAGTTGCTTAGCACCACGCCATTGCTGAGGCTGGCTGTATCTTGCGATCCTCCTGTCTTAACTTCCCAAGCCTCAGGGATTACAGGTTTGTACCACTGTGCCCCACTCTGTTTTTCCTTTTTAACCAACAAATGTCAATAGGTTAACTTTGGACCAACGGAATGTACTAGGAAACGGGTAACATTTTAAATTTTATCAGTTGGTTTAAATGATGCTTTTGGAATGGGTTTGAAAGACTTGTCTTTTTTTTTTTAAGTCTGAAGACATCTAATCTAAATATGGTACCTTCTGTAAGAAAGCATTCTGGGAAATCTGGGAAACAATCAGTGGAGGATCAGCTTGTAAGAGCCTTTGACTTTGAGAAAGAAGATAAAGATCTGAGTGGTTCAGAGGAGGATGTTGCTGAAGGTACTGTATAACTAAAGCTGGACAGTTATGATGTCCTGTGGTTCATTTGTTTTGAATCTACTTTATTTAAAACTAATAAAATTTTGTTAAGCATTTTCATGTGCTTTGTTTCTCCTTTGAATCCTAATACTCCTGTATCAGACTTAAAAAAATTTACATAGCATCTCTTGTCTTTGCCATCATTATTCCCAACTTGTCCATGAATAGTACACTGCTTATTATGTATGACCTTACCCCAGGAAGACTTGAAAGATTGGTCCTATAAAATAGTTCTGAAACTTGATTTAATTTTACCCAACCTGCAGAGAAAGTACTGTTTATATATCTACTTTTAAAATTATATTGGCAAAATGCTTAAAAGACTCACAAATGAAAATTATGTCATTAAAATTTACCAAAGTAGCATACGTAATATCAAAAATGTTTTCCTTTTTCGTCAATACAGGAAAGACCCCAGCAATTGATAAGCATGGGAAGAAAAGGCCTTCTGCAGGAATAGTTGAAGATATGGGGTAACATTCAAAATAAGAAAAATTGGCTTTGGTTGTCTGACAAGTATTGTATGTAAAATACTTGGCTGTGATATTTCTTCCAAAATAAGTATGATATTTTATAGATCTTTAATTAAAAGTTTATTTTATTTTATTTTTTTCCTGCTGGGGTTGAACTTAGGCACTTGCTAGTCAAAAATGCTCTGACACTGAGTTACATTCCCCATCTCTAAAAGTTTTTTAAGTGTAATTTCTTTACAGGGGTGAAGTACAGAACATGCTGGAAAAATTTGGAGGTATGTTTTTGGAGATTTTCATTTAAAGAAAATTATTTAAAACCACATAGTAATTTGTACAATAGAAAATGTTAATCAGCGACCTACGCAACTATTATTTCTTTGCTCACATTTGGGATTTTGCATAACCAAGTGTGATTTAGTTTCATTAATTTCCTTACTTAACCTTTTTCACCATGTGAGAATGATGCTTTTAGACATGTGTAAGCTTTAATGGAATTTTAGGCGGGGGGAAGAATGGGAAAAGTATATACTTCTTTGTAATTTAAGATTGAGTAACACGTGTACATAGTACATATCTATATATCTGTATGTACATCAGTTTTTCATTTACTCTATATTTTAGAACTCTTTCTGTGTTCCTTTCTTTTGGGAGGATTATAAATTGAAGGCTCTAAAATAACTATTGTTATTTTTACATTAATAAACTGCAGTTGAAAATGAAAAACAATTTTGCTAGCCATTAAGACATTTATAATCGGATCCAAAATTTTTAAGTTTTTTTTTATGTTAAATATCAGTTACAGGGAAATTTAAGGGAAAATATTCTTTAAAATGAGTCAATATTTGGCTTCTCAGAAGGATCATTCATACAATCAAATCTTTTTTTTTAATATGTGTTTTGTTCGGTGACAGTTCACTGTTTTACAAATGTATTATTTTGGATGCTAAAATTATAAAATATTTATATGTAGTACAGCGCCGTCATGATTACTGAGTGATAACTGTTTGTGGTAGATCCATAGTATTATTTGAAGTATTAAATTTTATGAATTGCAGTGCTTAGTGGTAAAATGTCTATAAGAAAACTCCATGAAAGCATTTATTTAAAGTATTCTTAAATGAATTCATCTATTAAACTAAGATTTTTTTTCTATCTTTGGTCTTTGTTTCTTTTAATAAAAAATATACTTAATAGTGTCATTAACTATATTTTAACATAATTTTTTTATTTGTTATCCTTTTTTAATTAGGCTTTTTAAAATTAGGTTTATAATAGATTATTTTCATGTGTTTTATATAATGAGTTCTAATAATGATTCAGCCAAGTGTGTCCTTTTTTAGCTTTTATTAAAATATTTTCTCGTGAGGAAATTGAAGTCTATCCTGTCCTTTGTTTTATTAGCTCTTTTTTTTCTATCACCCCTAAATTTAAAAATTATTTTCACTTAGGAAAATCAGAATTGGGATGAGGCTGGGGAATCCTTTATCCAAAATGCCTGGGACCATAAATGTTTCAGATTTCAGAGTTTCTTGGATTTTGAAATATTTGCACAGACTTACTAGTCTGAAATCTAAAATCCTGAATGCTCAAAAATATAAAACTTTTTGTATATTATGTTGGTATTTTAAATTTAATTTTAAATATCTCTTTAATATTTTAATGAACTTTACCCATAATTATAGTTACTTAGATATGTGGGAACAAAATAATTTTCTCCAATATTCAATTTTAATGAATGTTTCTTTCAATATAGCTGACATTAACAAAGCTCTTCTTGCCAAGAGAAAAAGATTAGAAATGTATACCAAGGCTTCTTTCAAAACCAGTAACCAGAAAATTGAACATGTTTGGAAAACACAGCAGGAGCAAAGGTAAGGTTGCTGGGTTTTTAAGGTCACATTCTTATCACTTAGTATATATTGTACAGTCACTTATGAAAAGTAGTATTATGATCTTCTATTTTTTGGAGAGTCTAGTGAAAATATATTTGGCTTGATTTTTCCTCTAAGCAAGTAGTCCTATAACCTCATGCCTTCATAGAATTGATAACTGCTTCTTAGCAGTGAGTGAACATTACATTTTTTGTTGCTATTTTTAGATATACAATAATAAGAGTGTATTTTGATATGTTTTACATACATGGAATATAACTTCCCATTATTATGGGTGTATATGATGTAGAATTACACTGGTCATGTATTCGTACATGAACACAGGAAAGTTATGTCGGGTGTAAATTACTTTTTTCTCCTTCCAGATAACAAATGAGGTTTTTTAAATTATAAAAATAATGCACATTCACTCCAGAAATATACTAGTTAAGTAAAAGGTAAATATCATAGAAATTATTAGTTATCTTATAGTTAACTATGTTTGACAATGTAAGAAGAGGTCAATTTTATATTGTAAATATTTTTTATATTTTCACTGATTTAACTAATCCTTTGTACAAAATCTTTCCTGTGCCAAAATGGAGAAAAAAGTCAAATGACATGTTTCTATTTAGAAATGTTTTAATCTGTTTAACATATCAATATGTACATTCAGTACGGGAAAATGAAAAATAAACTCTTTGGAGAGCAAATAAATTTTTCTGGAAAATTTATATAAATGATAAAATTTTCAATAGCTAAAGTATGTGAGAGGACTTTGTTTTAGCTTATTAGGAAAAAAATTCTGGAATCAGTATGAATCTAATTTTACTTTTTGGTTTCCTATCAGAATATTTAAGTTGCTTTGATTTCCTTCTTTTTTATGTAGGATAAAAATACACCAACTCAATATTGTCTTGCATGTTTTTTTTTTCCTATTGGCATGAAGTGTGACAGCATTCATTATTATGTTTTACAGACAGAAGCTTAACCAAGAATATTCTCAGCAATTTATGACTCTGTTTCAGCAGTGGGATATAGATTTGCAGAAAGCTGAGGAACAAGAAGAAAAACTAGCTGTTGGTATCATTATTAGCTCTTCAATTAATTTATTATAACCAAGTCTCAAGTATCAGTAGAGAATCTAGCTTTGTATTAGGCCCATGGAACTAAACCAGATTCCATTTCTCATTATTGGCTGTGTTTTTTAAAGATGCTGAACTGCAAACCACAGAATAGGAATATATTATACTCACAAAAGCCATTAGCCATCTTACATTGGTTGGAATTCTTGATTTTCCAGTGACAAAAATTTGTTAAAGGACAAAAGAAGGATTATTGGATAATATAAATGAAAATCAGTGTAGTTTAGATTCAGGCATACCTGATGGGGATAGGAAAGGGTTGCTTATGTAGTGCAACTTGGGACTATTGCCAAACCTTAGTGGGTTCATCTTGATAGATTTTTTGTTGTTGTTGTTGTTCAATTCTAGACTTACTACAAATTTTTAAAATAATCTCGTAACTGCAGTGGATTGAGATAATCTTTCTCGCTAGCTCTGGCAGAAAGTTCTGGAGGAATATCCTGATTTAGTAGTTCATTCCTGAGCTAATCACTATAGTCAGAATATAGTTTACTCTTAATTTTTTTTCTCTTCTTAATCTGAGATGCTGGAGATTGAACCCTTGGTCAGTACATGCAAGGCAAAGCATTCTGTCACTGAGCTGCAGCCCCCACCCAGATAGTTGACTCTTAATGTGTTATAGGAGATAGAAGTCAGTCCTGCTCAAATACTTTGCATTAATTGCTCTTTCAACTTATCCTTTCATTGTTTGTAATTATCAAACATTCCTTAAGAGCTAAGGTATTGACTTGGGAGCTGGTTAACTCAGTTTGGGAAATGTTAAATTTGAAATGCACATGAAATGTCTAAGGAGAGGTTGAATACGTCACTGGTATATTAGTCTGGAGTTCAGGAGAGAGAGGCTAAAGATACAAAGTTGAGTATTAGTTTAAAGACAGTTTTTAAGCCATGAAAACTAGATGAGATAAAGTCATGATTGTAAATTATAAATTTTACTTGAATGTTTAGTGTTCTGGAAGTAAGGGAGAACCCACAAAGGAAACTCCATTATGTTTGAGCTAATATCTAATGTGTAAACCACTCTACACCAAATAAAGCAAGCTTTTAAAGAAGGAAACAGGATTACTTTTGTTACATGCTGCTTACAGGCCAAATAGGGTGGATTTGGCAATGTGGAAGACCATTGGTGTCCTGGATCAGAATGATTTTGGTAGAAAAGTGAGGGCAAAAATCTGATTAAAATGAGTACAAGACAGAATGGCAAAGAAATAAGATGACCTGAGGAGAAAAATAGGGTGTTTTTTTTTTTTTTGTTGTTGTTGTTCTTTTTGTTTTTAAGATAAGAGAAGTGGCAACATGTCTGTGTATTGACAGGAATAATTTAGAGGGACAAATTTAAAATAACAGAAAGAGGGAAGCATTTGCTGAATTCTTGAGAATGGCTGGGACATGTGAAGAAGTTGGCCTTACGCACAAGGATAGTTCATCCTTCAAAACAAAAGGGAATGCAGAGTATCTTGAGCATAAATTAATGTAGGTGGACAGTTGATATTGTAATGGGAAACTGATAAAGTTCTCTTTAGATTTCTTTTATTTCTTTAATAAGATAATCAGATGGTGAAAGTCTTGCTTCTAGATAGAGTAGCTAGAGAGTTGAATTTTTCAGGGTTGAGGTTTAACCAATTAAGTGTGACAAAGAGTCAGAAAGGGGCAAGGTATATATGTAAAGGAGTAATTATAATAATTGTCCATATAATTTAAGCTGGGAAAGAGGAAAGTTAGGACAACAGGAATAGGAATGACAGTGAAAATAGGTAGAATTAATGGATTTAGTTTCCTGATATATTATTGAACTGTATTACTAAAGAGAGTAAGCTTGAATGTTGAGGTGGCGATCAAATACTGGGATGTGTGGAGAAACAGTTATGCATATGCAGTGTACCTGGACTCTGGAAAAATACAGTTTGAGATCAAATCCTGGTTTGAGCAATTGGTACCTGTGAAACTATGGACAAATTATTTAACTTTAAGTCTTAGTTTCCTCAACTCTAAAGTGACTCATGAGTACCTATCTATCTCACAGGATTAAATGAGTTCATATAAGTTTGAACACAAAGTTAATATATATTTTGTTTGCCATTATCAATACTATAGAAAGGTCCTATCATTGATAAAGGCAAAATCTAGTGTATAAGTATGTAAGTGAATGGCTAAAATAGGGAAGACAAAAATCATTGGTGGAGGATAGGTTAAGGAACTGAAAGACCACCATTATGGAAGATCATCCATGTGGATATTGAAATTACCTAGAATAATACATGTCTTGAGCATTAAGATTTCCTACTCATTGACTGGTAAGATTATTATAATTATTCCATATTAGCAATAAACACAAATGATCTAAACTCTGTCATAATAGTTATTGAAACAAAAACTTAAAACTACCAACTTATGAACTATTCTTTTCAAGTGCAATATGGAATTATTTTTTGCTAAGTTTAAAACTTCAGGGCTGGGGACATATCTCAGAGGTAAAATGTCTGTCTAACTAACATGTGTGAAGCCCTAGGTTTGATCCCCAGCACTGAAAACAAACAAAATAATTTACCAAATTGTTATTACCACAGTTTTTTCTTTTTATGATTATAGAATATGTTTCGACAACAACAAAAGGTTTTTCAACAATCTAGAATTGTTCAGAATCAGAGACTGAAAACAATTAGACAACTATATGAGCAGTTCATAAAGGTAAATGTTGTACATTTTGTAACAATACAGTCTTAAAAAACAATATACTTATGGAAATAGAAAATAATTCTTTTGTTTCCAAACTTACGGGGAAAGTATTTTGCTAATGCATTTAAAATTTTTACCTTTTCATTTTGAACTCATTTCTGACAAGTGACAATATATATCTTTACTTTAGGATTCTGTTTTATGGTGATTATTCAAGACAGAAATGGTAAATTGGGAATTTTACCTGGAAATATACTTATGTATCAAATCCACATAATTAACATTTAAGTCATTATTCTCTGTTTAACTGTTTCTACATAGTCTTTATTAAATAGAAAAGATCCAATTGAAATTAATATTTATTTTCAGATGTACATATAAGTATGGCATATTTGCTTTTAGAATTTATTGCAGTAATCAAAAATGAATTTATATTCCAACTTCTAAGAGATAGGCAAGATAGCTTAAGAATAAAAATTTGTGGATTGAAATTATTTACTGACAATTGTGCAAGTTGTGATCTAAATAGTAAAATAGTTTTAAAAATGCAAAAGTTACTTTTAAAATTAAAAGCATTTTCACGTAGAGAACTTGCTTTCTCTAATGCTCCCTGAGAATAAAATTTGTTAATTGGTATGAAGGTTTGATAAAACTAGAAAATATTTTTTCTAAATGTTATAATTAAACATTACTACCTAGGATAGGAACTTCAGTATACTCTGACTCCTCCACCTCCTTTATCTTTCACATTCATTTATAACTAGGATCTTGTAATTTTTCTTCATCAGTGGTTCTTTCTTTTAATTCCCACTGTTATTACCTTAGTTCGGGGCCTTATCACTTTTTGGTTTTACCATTAAAACTCTTTAACTGATTTCTCTGTTCTCCAGGCCATCCTTCATAAGTCTTCCATGTTATTTTTCTAAAAAAAAAAAAAAATATCTTTCCTACTGAAAAATCTACATTTCCCATTCTACATTCTTAGGTCTTTGAGATCCCTGTCATGACTCTTTTTAAGTTTCATGTACTTTATTACTTCTACCCCTCTACATAATTGCTTTCTCTGAACCCACTCACTGTATGTCCATGCTTTTGCTTATATTCTCCCCCTAGAATACTTTATTTATTGAAATTTTACTTTTTTGCCAAATAAATTGGATTCAATCCCCATTTTCTTTGATATAGCCTGAGTAAGCTACATTTCCATTCCTGTTATAAAGCTTTTGTGTTATTTTTGTTTATATGTTTCTTCTCTTTGGAATAAAGAAGCAACCATGCATTATTTATTTTTAAATTTCTCCACAGCACTTAACATAGTACTTTTTACATAGTAGGCACTAGGATAACTGTTGAGTAAATCGTAAAGAGTTAAAATGTAAGTTGTTTTAAGAGTTCATACTATAGATCATTTTTTTCTCTCTAGTGAATTCATGTCACATTGACTATTGGTCATAATTAGTAGGTTATAACCTGATGTTTGAGAAACTTATTAGAAATTTTCAAAATTATGGTATTATACTGATGGTACCTTTCCTTTTTTTCTCCACTTTTACATTAATAGTTCTTTAACCCATTATTTCCAGTAAAGTATACTACTATTGTATCTTCTGAAATTGTATTTGATTCATATCTGATTTATTTTACTTTTTCATACTAGGAATTTTGATCTTCATGTATTACTTAGAATGTATTTTTAGTTGGAATAAATATAATTAACATTATTTTTTTGACAATTTTCCAAGTTTAGAAATTGAGGTAAAAAGTTATGGTCTAAAACTGAAGTAACCTTTTGTGTTTTAGAGCTTGGAGGACTTGGAGAAGAATCATGATAATCTACTTACTGGTACACAAAGTGAACTTAAAAAAGAAATGGCTATGTTGCAAAAAAAAATTATGATGGAAACTGTAAGTCAATATATTTCAAATTGAAAAAATAAGGGTTGGTGTAAGCACTGAAATATTTTATTTGCTGAAATTGTATAACACTTAACTAAAAATTAAACAAATGTTTAATATCTCCTTTCATGAAACAGCAGCAGCAAGAGATGGCAAGTGTTCGAAAGTCTCTTCAGTCCATGTTATTCTGATGACTCTTTGAAGAAAGAACTTGAACCTAAGTAATATGATACAATTATAACATTAGCTAAAAGTCATGTAAGTCTTTAGAGTAGTTCAGAAATTCAAGTTTAAATTAAAACAAGTTTAATCAGTAGCTTATTTAAGTGTAAGTCCTCCCTTCCTGCAAACTTCCAAAAAAATTGCAACAGTTATGTGAAGTACCAGCTATTCCTAAATTATATGTATCAAGCTTTCAGCTCTGAAGTTGTAATTGTGAATTTTTCTATCACTTTTATTAGTATTAATAAAGATACTGAATTTAGATTTAGGCTTCAGTGTATTTGTTAGTCACAAATGTACAAAGTACAAGTATAAAGATTACATTGTTCTTTATTCCTTTTTTTTTTTGAGGTCTTGCTCTGTTGCCCAAGCTTGTCTCAAACTCCTGGGTTCATGTGTTCCTTCCCCCTTACCTGAATTAGCTGGGAGTACAGGCCTATGCCACCACATGTGGCTTACATTGTTCTTAAGAAAAAAACCACAAAATCTGTTTTACATATACATTCTTTTCTATATACTATTACATAGCCAATTCTAATGAAAATAAGATTTCAAGAGAAATCTATTCTATTGGCATATAAAGTATATTAAAAGAATTTAAATTTGTGTCCTAGAATAAATTAAACTGCTAAAATCATTAATATAACGGCAAGATTTATAAATATTAGGTGTTTTTTTGCAAGTGGGGGGGCACTGGGAATTGAACTTGGGAACTAGACCACTGAGCCACATATACAGCCCTTTTTTGTATTTTATTTAGAAACAGGGTCTCAGTTTCTGAGCACCTTGCTGTTGCTGAGGCTGGCTTTGAACTCACACCCTCTTGCCTCAACCTCCAGAGCCGCTGGGATTACAGGCATGTGACAACCAACCCAGCCTATAAATATTAGGTTTTAAGATTTTAAAAACCTGCATTTGTGAGTGTGTCATTTCCACGAAGACATCAAAATATCAGGTAATTCGGCTTGGTCCACAATTGACACATTTTCTTAGTAATAATTAAGAGTATGTCATTAACATAACTAATTAAGTATATTATGACTTCAAAGATAATTTTACCCGGTATATCTTTTTAGTTTTAATATCAATAAAAATGTGGAATTGATTTTACATTCATTTCAAACCTGAACAAGTTATTTTTTATACCTTGTCTTTTAAAATACACATTCTTTAAATAGAAAAACTTAAGGAACATTTGTGGGTTTTTTGATTTGTTTGTTTTTGTACAGAGGATTGAACCCAAAGGCACTCCCCAGACCATTTTTAAATGCTTATTTTGAGACAGGGTCTCCCTAAGTTGCAGGGGCTATCCTGGAACTCAAGATTCTCCTGCCTCAGCCTCCTGAATCTCTGGGATTACAGGCTTATGCCATAGTGCCTGGCTGAAATGCTTGATTTAACAAATATTAAATTGTTTCAACATTTGTTTGAAATAAGTCAGTTAAAACTCTTTTTTCTTGCTGAAATTACTTCCAGTGAACCATCCAGGCAAAAAATGATATGTCCATTAGAAGTAAAGGAATGACTTTCTCATGCTTTTCCATTTTAAATTCTAACTTTTGCCTCTATAACCCACCCTTATGTTACTTCTAAGGTCTTTCAGGTTTTTAAAAGCAAGTCTATACAAATTATCGTGTTTTTTTACTGTGATAATTTATACAAAGAAATTAATGCTCCCACCATTAGGAAATATTCGACAATAAGAGGACAGTTTACTTCCAAATTTTTGAGTGTGTGGTGCTGGGGACTGAACCCAGGACCCCACCCATGCTAAGCATGCATTCTTCCACTGAGTGATACCCTAACCTAGAATATAAATATTAAGTACTATTCAAACTTCTAAGAAGGTCTTTATTTGAGAAGTTCTACCAATAGTTATGGAGGCAAAATAAGTATCTCCAGAATGTTTTCTATGTACTTAGTTCATAGAAGTATATTTTAGGGAATATAAATTTCCACTGTTCATTTTTAAAATGTTTGTTTCTTGGCTAGATATAGTAATCTTTGTTATTTTTTTCTGATTATTTTGTCATACAGCAATATGGCCTATGTAACTCTATAAAATTAGAAATAGGGTCAAATGAGAGTCTGAAGATTTGGATCATCAAAGATCTTGATGATAGTTCTAGTATTTATAAAAGCAATCTAAATCTTCTCAACTAAGAATAGAAAGAGAAGAATCAGAGCCCAAAGTACTTAGTGGTTGAATAACTGATACTTATTTTGTCCCCTTATTACCTTAAATGAGTTATGTGTACTTGAAGTAACTGGCTAATATTCTATAGAAGGATGTTTTTGCCATGTTTTTATAAGTTACTAATTTTCTTACATATCAGCTGTTTTAGTTGCTGTTTTTTGCCTTTCATAAAAGGGAATGTTTAATGTCTTTTTCATGGCAATAAAATTTTAACCCATAATATCAAGAAGTTACCCTCAATATAAGGATTCACATGTTTTTCTGAACTAGTACCACAAAATCTTTTACTAAATACAGATTATTAATTCCCATGGCCCTTTTAAATTCTAGTTGGTACTTTTCCTTTTATAGCAGTAATTAACATAGTTTTTGAAAAATGGCTAGCATAAATTTTTTATACTATCAAACTCAGTTACACTATTATAAGCCATGCATTTACAATTATGAGTTATCAGTTTTTAGCAAAGAAGGCCATTATGTTCAGGATGGCTAAAGTTTAAGTTCTGAATTTTTATGTAATTCTTTGGCAATGAAAATCCCAAGTGTCTGATAAATATTTTGTAGACACAAAGAGATTGCTGTTTAGAACTACCTATATTCAGTTTTTCATTCTTTTGTCTTGTTTCTAATTTGCAGACTATATTACTGATAATACCTTTGATCAAAAATGTTGATGAGACATAATGAGGACTTCATTACTGAAATCATTATAATGGAATCTATAGGATTTATCTATTAAATTCAAATATAACCTTATTGGATAGTATACTAGCCTCCTGCACAGGGGGATTTCCTTCACACATAGGTTTCCCCTAACTGCTTCTCCTCTTTTCCTTGGGCTATTTAGTCAGTCAATATGCTTGTGAACCTGTTCAGGTGCTTGATGATATGAAATCTTGAAGATATGTAGATGAAGGTGTCTTGAAATTTGAAGGCACAAAGCACCAAAGTATATCATCATATCAAATGAAGAAATGACCTTTGGAAGCAAAAAAAGAAAATATAAAATGGATTATGGCCTATGTTTTCTGAATTTACAGACATTTTTCTGTCCCTTCCCACCCAATCTCAAATATTCTTAACATAAAATTCTTAACTCTGAAAATATTACTTTTTAGAGTAGTTTAGCATATTTCATATTTGGACCTTATTATTATACTCTTCTGGAATATACAAGGTATTTCAATTATAGAAGCCGAGGGTAAGAGGGGTAAGAGGACTGAAGTATAAAAGCTCAAAAGTAACGGAAGCCAAGTCTTCTGACTCCACATTCTTTCAACTTTTTGCTATGCAATAAGGCCACACATTTTCTAGAAGGGGCTGTCAGTCATTGTAATGAACTATTCAGATACATATTTTATTCCTTTAAGGCTAGTTATAAGAACATAAAAGATCCGGGCAAGCATGGTGGCACATGCCTATAATCCCAACAGCTGGAGAGGCTGACAGGATTGCGAGTTCAAAGCGAGCCTCAGTAAAGGCGAGGCAAGCAATTCAATGAGACCCTGACTCTAAGTAAATACAAAACAGGGCTGGAGATGTGGCTCCCATGGCGAGTGCCCCTGAATGCAATCACTGGTATCCACCTCCAAAGGTATTATCAGTAATATAGTCTGTAAAAAAGGAATATAAAAAGATCTGGGAAAGACACCCTGTTGAGGGGAGGCATATACAAAATTGTCTTCTATTCAAAATGAAAAGAGGAAGGTTTCCAAAGATTTTCCTGGAGATTAGTCAAAAGCTTTCCTTCAAACAGTGAAGCCTAGGAGAAAAAGAAGCCTCATAGCTGTGCCTTTGGAGAGGGATTATCACCCATGAGAAAATATCTTTGTCATTTACTTGAAAAGCTCCATCAGATCCTTTTCTATCTGAAGCAGGAAGCTTTTCCTCAGGGATGCCACAAAACACATACTTTGTTTGGCACCCATTGTGTATGTGTGTATTATCTTCTGAGTAATGTTTTTTTTTTTTTTTTTTTTTTTTGTGGTGCTGGGGATAGAACCCAGGGCCTTATGCATGCAAGGCAAGCACTCTTATCAACTGAGCTATATCCCCAGCCCTCTTCTGTATAATGTTTTAAAGAAAAGTTGAATTTGACTTCCTCAGTTTACCAGCCTACATTATTGGTATAAATCAGGCCAACTATTCATTACAAAACAGGTGCTTGAATTTTTAACGCCTGATATTTTAATTTTGTTAATTCCATTTTATAATACATATCCAAGTACATAAAAAAAATTAAAGGAAAGTACTCTGATTTTCAGACACATATATATATGTACATATTATATATATACATATATATATATATATACACACATATATATATATATATATATATATATATATATATATATATATATACACATATTATACCTTTTATTTTTTTACTTATTTTTATGTGGTGCTAGGATCAAATCCAGGGCCTCACACGTGCTAGGCCAGTGCTCTACTGCTGAGCCACAACCCCAGCCCCACTTTTTAGTATATTGACTGCAAATTTTCATTGCCCAAGAGGATTAGGTATTATATCTCACCCCTGGGACAATAAAAGACTTTTAAATGAACTATGCATGAATATTGTTAATTTAATCCAGATAAAGTATAATACTATATAACCTAGGGAAGTATCATCAAATGTATACTAGTGGTCTATACACAACAGATAACAGATTTTTTAAATGCCTAAATTTAACAACAGGAGAGATCATTTGAATTATCAAAAGATTTATTTAGAGCTTTTAAAAAATACATATCAATATGTTTATATATCATGAACAATTTGGTAAAGGCTGGTGAGATCCAGAAATAGGAAAAAATATATCAAGACTATTGACTATTCAAAACCACTATTAGTTGAAGACCAACTGTAAACATATATCTCAAGAACAGAAAAATGTAATGTTCCTTTTATCCAACTTTGTGATTGTTACTCGGAATGACTTTCTTTTCCTTGGATGACTAAAGTGTCTTTCTTAAACACCATATTCTGCATTTTATAATTTTGAGTAGAAAAATATGTATATCTACATGCCTTTCTTGAGCAAGCATATCATTAGAATTTA